TGAAATAAGTCAAATGAACAAACAGCTGACATTAACTTTAATGGTTCTTAAGATTTACTCTAAATGCTTGGATTTGCTTGTTCAGATGGTTGGACACTAGCCGCCATCACCCTGATGCAGTTTGTGCTTCTCCTGGAAGCCAGAAAGGAAAGCAAATAAGAGACAGCACTGCTTTCACCCGCTGCAAGGCAAAGACAAAGAAGGCCAGGAAGGGAGCACGGCTTTGAAATGGTGAGCAGCCCTGTTATTTCCACTCTCACAAATTTAGAATCTTAACACAAACCTAAAAAGTGAAAACATTACAAATGACATTAAATATAAATGGCTTCCTTAATAAGCCATATTCCTCTAGTTCAGTGGTTCATAACCAGGGGGCCAGGGCATACTAACAGCCTCTGCAAACTTTACATTTATATTTAAATTTTGGCTTTCATCCAAAGCGGCTTACATTGCATTCAAGGTACACATTTTATCAGTTCTTGCTTTCCCTGTGAATCTAACACATGACTTTGGCTTCACTAGTGCATGCACTACTGTTTGAACTGCAGGAAGGCCATTACTTCCAGGGAGCTTCCAATAAATATTACAATTATTTAAATGTACCTATATTAACAATCTTAATAATAAAAAACACCTAAAATAAAGATGTACAACATATTTTTATTACAACAATAGTAGCAGAGGTATATCCGCTTATATAGAAGGGCCTTTGAATATTGTCTTGGACAAGAGAGACTTGGAGTCCAAAAGGTTGAAACCCACTGGTCTAAAACACAATATTATTGTAACATTGTAAAATTATTAAGTAAATTTAAAATGAATTATTAGTATTTGCAAGAAAGCTGAGATTAAAGTCAAAGTTCACCAAGGAATTTTTGTTATTTAAAGCCGGACACCAGAAGTCAATTACAAAATGATAACCAGCTACTAAAGATTACTAAGATTATACTAAACATTACTAAACAACCAAGTCTTCCAGTCCAGACCCATCTATGGTTTATGTGGTCCACAGAGGTCTTGTAAATGAGACCACATGATTACGGCTCCAGCTATGATCATAAAAATGAGACATTAATCACAGTCCTCAGTATGACAACTAGCCTCTTTCCACATGATTTGCAAATGTAAATAAATTAGAAAGGAGAAAAAAGGGTAAATAACTAGTCTCAAGGGTTCTCTGTGATGCATGGAGCAAGAAACCACTGCTCTCCCATAATCTCTATCAAAGACCTTTTCATCAGGAGATACTCATGAGATTCACTGCTCAAGTGCTTCCACAAGTCCCGAGAGACCACTGTGGATGCGATAAACAACAGTAAATGGTTATGAAATTGTTTAAGCCCAGGTTTGCAAAGTAATCCCATTGATTTGGGAGTGGAGAAACCTGGTTCCAAGTTACCAATTTAGTCACTGGTGGTCGTACCTCTATTAATGAGCTTACTTCCAGTAACTTCTGTGAGAAATTAAAGTTGCATATTTGCACAGAGAATCAAGAGGTTAATGCTAACCGTAAGTGTTTTTACCTCTTCCAACATGAAAGACTGAATGGTAATACTGTAATTGTGGTCAGGATATGGGTTTGGGCCACTGCTTTGTGGTAAAATACTGTCTGTTATGTTTTTCCAACCTATCCTTTATGTTCCTCCTGGTCTCTTTGTCTTTTAAGGTTTGTTTGTGTGTTTCCATTTTGGCTTTGGCATTATGTGCAGACCATCAGATGTCCAAAACTGAGCTTGGCGATCTTATTTGTATGTTCCCGCAGGAGGACAGGGAGAAGAGGCCTGTCCAGGTGTTGGGACTTCAATGTGCAGAAAAGAAAAGCAATGCAGACTGCTACATTGGGACTGTCCATTTCCTCTTTCACTAATTTTTTGTGTGACATATAGATGCGCTGACTCAATACATACTAAATAACATGAATAAATGTTATTTATAAATATATGTTCACAGACATTGACAAACACCCTGAAGGAGCAACTGTGTGAGTTTGCAAAGAGAGCTTTCACAAACATGTACACCGCAAAGGAAATACGCCTCAAACTCTCAGTGTTCATTGTTATAGTAATGCATATGCTAATTCAAAAACCTGGTGATAAATCCAACATTATCACACAACTAGTTTCTACACCATAGTAAAAATCAGGAGTACTCTTCTCCATAAAATCAGAATTGGTAGAGTAGATTTGCATTGATTAGCATTTACTTAGAGACTCAGCAGTATCTCATTGAAGTATAAATGTGCACAGGTAATTCATCAAACACCTCAAGATTGTATGTTTTGTTTTTCCAGATTTAAGCATATTTTTTTTAGCATAGAAATGTGTAAGGATGTACATAAAATCTGACCCTTTTTGAGTATATCAAACCAAATGGCCACTGTAGAATGAATCTTGTCCATTCTACTGATTCTAATTTTAAGGTCTTCCACGGCATACTCCCATTATTAGGGTAGAAGCACTTAAAATTATATAACCAAAGAGTTATAATCACAACAGAGCTCTTCATGAGGATCCTCTTTTAACATTGTGAGTTCATCCTTAGCTTTAAACATCTCACAACGTCCTGCAAGGAATTTCCGGGCTTTGCAAACATAACAAACCTTGACCGTGAGTCCGTGACTAAAGCTGACACATTCAAGATGTGACATGACCTGACCTCTTCTTAACATCTCTGACCAAAGTCAAACGCAACACAGGCCAGGAAAACATGGACTCCTTATAGCCATGAAAATGATAAATGAGATAATGTAAAGTCTATGTAAGGAATAACACAGCTAGTCATTGTCACACAATAAATCCAGACAGGATAATCAGGATTGGTTGCCAAATATACAGTTTAGCCATTAAAGGTGCTGTATGTAGGATTGACACCGAGTGGTTGAACTAAGTATTGCAGTCCAAATTCAAAATATTGGAGAGGGTTTTTTTTCAACCGGCCCCTCCTCCTCAGACTTGATGCACACGCAGGTTCAGATTGACGACACCAACAGGAACGAGCGCACTTGCTGATGAATGAAATTAAATATGCTGTGTTTTCCGTCAACTGGCAACCCGGGGTGCCGAAATACAATTGGGTAAACTGGCAGTGGCCGGGTTTCACAAACCAAAACAGAGACCGACATTCCGGCCCGGAACGCACATTTTCAAAGGAGAATAACTGACTGTAGCATTGTTTTTCAGATAAACAAGTATGTTAACTTAGCATTTTTCTTAAATATCTGCAAACATATTATGGTCTTTTTATGCTTTAAAAACTTACATACAGCACCTTTCAGAATGCTGCGACTGACCAATCAAAATCAAGAAATGACAAGTGATGGTGGTGCCAGGAAAAGAGGATTTACGAAGAGCAGGAAAAATGAAAAGAGAATAAAAATTGAGACAAATGGTGGTTCTCCAGTCTAATGTTATCAATTTGTTACTGTTATGTACATTCAAAGCAACACTATAGTAATAGTTTCTTTCAGCAAATGAAAACTGTATGCTCTAAAATTGTGCAATATGTTCTTTGAAAAACAATAGTGCTAACAGATACTGCTATCAGATCCTGCTGCCTTCTCCATATCTGGTTCTTAAAGGTATAGTTCACCCAAAAATGAAAATTCTGTCATCATTTACTCAACCTCAAAACTTGTATGACGTTTTTCTTTTGTGGGAAATAAAATTAGTTATTCATAACAGAATGTCCAAGATGCTCTCTTTTTTTTAAAGTGGAATTTTTTAAGGAATAACTGTCTTCTTCGTCCTAAATTTTAGTTTGCTCCTCACACAAAGCTATTATATGGCTTCAGAAGACTTTAGTTATTGTGCAAATAATATGGACTACTTGTATGGTTCTTTTTGGAGCTTTACAGCATCATTTTATGGAAGAAAGCAGCTCAGAGATAGAAAGTCATACAGTTTGGAACAACATGAGAGTTAGTACATGACACCTACATTTTAATTTTCTGCTGAACTATGCTTTAACAATGCTCTTTTAAAAAGGAGAACAGCTATTCATACAATACCTTTCAAAGGTTTGGAGTCAGTAAGATTTTTTTTTTAAGAACTTAATTTATTCATCAAGGATGCATTAAATTAATCAAAGGTGACAGTACAGTTCTATATTGTTTAAAAACATTATTTTTTAAATAAATGCTGTTCTTTTGAACTTTTTAATCATTATAGAATCCTGTATAATGTATTATAGTATCCACAAAAATATTAAGCAGCACAACTGTTTTCAACACTGATAATAAGTAATAAGTGATATTTATTGAGTGCCAAGAAATCATTCAGCATATTAGAATGATTTCTGAAGGATCATGTGACACTGATGACTGGAGTAATGACTGCTGAAAATTCAGCTTTGCCATCACAGGAATAAATTATATTTTTAAATAAATTAAATGAGAAAATATTTTAAATAGTAATATTATTACACAATATTACTGTTTTACTTTATATTTGATTCAATGAAAGCAGCCTTGGTGAGCAAGAGACTTCTTTCAAAGACATTCAAAAATGACCCCAAACTTTTGAAAGGTAATGTATATTTTGTACAAATACCAAGCTTTTTTCATTCAAATATAAGGGGAATTTTTAATGTGAGAATGGATAGTGAATTAAAAGAAGACATATCTTTTCTTAGAACAGAAAGGACAATACTAAAATAAATGTACAGACCAAGTGAGCTGGGCTATGAGTGACTTATTTTGTACAAATACCAAGCTGTTTTCATTCAAATATAAGGGGAATTTTTAATGTGAGAATGGATAGTGAATTAAAAGAAGACATATCTTTTCTTAGAACAGAAAGGACAATACTAAAATAAATGTACAGACCAAGTGAGCTGGGCTATGAGTGACTTTTATATTATATTATATATTTTATATTATATTCTCTGTCTCCCTCTAGTGATAGTGACATGCAGTTTACACACAATTATAATCAGCTTGATTCATAACAGAGGATGTGCACTGTTTATCAACAAATCCCTTTTTATTATGAGTAACTACTTACCAGCATTTCCTTAGCACCTGTGGCATTGATGACCTTACGGATGACCTCAGGTGGACAAGGAGACCCGGCAGTAATACCTGACAGACACAAAACAGAGAATCTTAGCAGAATACTGATGAAAGTGTTTGCTCAGAAAAACTTGTAATATTAATGTAATCTATCACAACTTCTATTTAGCAATAGATTTGACAAAAGACTGATTGACTTACCACCCTCAACTGATGAAAAATCAATCTGGGCCAGGTCAGGCTGACTAAGCATGTCAATAAACATTGTAGGGGTGCCGTACATAAATGTACACCTGGGTAAACAGTGAATTTTGTGCCAATTGGATAAAATAAATACAGCTCAGATGTTTTTCCAGTTATGCATGATGTACACTACATGACCTTTGATCCTTACATAAATTCTACATGACTGTCCTCTTTATATGTCCCTGTGTCTTTTATTTACAACAACTTAAATTCAATATGGCTGAGGAAAGCAGCACCAAGTAACTCTGAAAGATTCTGAAAGAATATCTTCTATTGCAAAGAACAGATGTGCAACTCTTTCACAATACATCGATTCTTGTTTTAAAGTCTAAAATATTTATCTAATAATTAATGCATCTGAGGGTTAATTAAAATAAATGAATTAAAATTATTAATGACAACATACTTCTCTTTCTCTATCGCCACCAGGTTGGCATGTCCATCATACCCGGTGGATGGGAAAATCACTGTGGTGCCATGCACAGCCATGACCATACCACCACCCACTGAGCCAAAACAGTGATACAACGGCACAGGCAAGCAGATTCGCACATTTTTCTGTAAGAAGAATAAGGTCAAATATCACACATACTGCATCTACTGTAAAGGAAAACGTATGGAGATTTATTTAAAGGTGACATATCATGAAAATCTGACTTTTCCAGGTTTTAAGTGCTATAATCAGGTTCCCCGGTGCATCTACCAACCAAGGAAATGTGAAAAAGATTAACCCAGTAACTTTGTTTTGGTAAGCCTTTTTCTGCAAGCGTCTGAAAAAACGAGCACGTCTGATTTCTCTCCCTTGGTGACGTGGCAAAGGGATCTCATTATAATATCACCGCCCCTTAATCTGTAAGTTTTTACCCACGGCACAATCATTTTGATTTCGCAAGCGACAACGGTGTACTAGTTCTAATGGACCAAAACTAAATGATACCTTTATAGTGTAGCATTTACTGTAGATCAAGTTCACTAGGCTGTGTTTCAAGACTAAAGCTATAGTGTTTCATTTTTTATGTAAAAAAAAAAAAATCTTGGCTAATTTCTCTAAATTGTAAATGCTGAGGCTCAAAACATTGCTCTGCTTGTCCCAACCACCCTAACACAGCAACATTAGGTCAACCAATGGTGTGAGTTTAGAGACTCATTTATACTGACCAGTGGAATATGGAGTCTATGAAAACTTGTTTCCGGCATGAAATAAAAAAAAATAAAAAGGTAACTGCAAAGTCTGCATTGTGAGATATACACTAGCAAAAAAAAGTCAGCTTGTTTTTGCCACGCAATAAAAAAAATAAAAATAAAGGTGATTCTTTTTTATAAGTCATAATTGTGAGATAAAAAGTCGCAATTCGCTTTTTTATTCTATAGTAGAAATAAGCTTCCATAGAGTGAGTGTTTGAGGTGAGCTATTTGAAAATAATCATTATTTTTGCTATTCCGTCTGGTGATGCAAAAAGGGTGGAAATTACACACTTCAGCTTTAACAGATATGACTTTTGCACAGTAGTGTATATACAAATACACAAATTAAAAAATAAGCAGAGTACCGAAGTAAACTGAATGTTTATGGGATCATCACAACTGAGTTTCTTCTGCAGGTCTTGTAGTTGTTGATAGTGTTGGCTGCTTCCTGCTTGCATCACATCTTTCAAATGGAAAGCTCCAGGCTGCTGACTGTCAGTTACGATCACAGTGTGCAGGTCTGGTAGTCTGAAAATAAAATAACAACTCAGTCACCCTCTGGACCACAATATTGATTATGTATAATTTCTTTTTATTACATCACCCGTACCTTGAACTCTTGATTCCTCCAGAAGAGGCTGTCTCCATCTCCGGACAAAGCTGCCTTAACATGTCACAGTACCTTTGGGTCTTGAATTGTGTTGGACAAACGACTGCATTGCACTGCACCTAAAAGAAACATTAAACCATTAATCATTCATAAAGGTTGCACATATTTAGTTCAAACTACACCGGATGTGAGCAGTGTGACGCAATGCAACTAAAGCCAATAAAACGTATTATAAACAGTAATTGTGTCTACACTGGATGTGGTGTGACATGAGCGACAAATCTCCGACAGTAAACTGATGCCTCGTACCATTCATGATGTACTGACACAAAGGACAAATTATTTGCAACTGGTGCTTTGTCGCGTCCAGTGTAGACATCCTCTAGCTGTTGGCAACAGTTCAAAGAGAGAGTGGGCTGGATGTAAGGGGTCCAGAGTGATTTTCTTAGCCCTTTTTATCACTCTGGAGGTGTAAAGATTTTGGAGGTTGGGCAGGGGGAATCAATAATCTTCTTATCAGTCCTGACTGTCTGTTGTAGTCTCTTGACGTCTGATTTGGTAGCTGAACCAAACCAGACAGTTATGGATGAACACAGGACGGACTCAGTGATGGCTGAGTAGAACTGTTTCAGCAGCTCCTGTGGCAGGTTGAATTTCCACAGTTGGCGAAGGAAGTACAGCCTCTGCTGGGCCTTTTTAGCAAAGGTGTCTATGTGAGTGTCCCATTTCAAGTCCTGAGAGATGGTGGTGCCCGGGAATCTGAATGACTCTACTGCAGCCACAGTGCTGTCCATGATGGTGAGTGGGGGGATTGCAGGGGGGTTTCTCCGGAAGTCCACGATCATCTCCACTGTTTTGAGCGTGTTTAGCTCCAGGTTGTTGTGACTGCACCCGACAGCCAGCTCTTTAACCCCCTGTCTGTAAGCAGACTCATCTCCATTGTGTATGAGGCCGATGATGGTAGTGTCATCCTCAAATTTCAGGAGCTTAACAGAGGGGTCTTTGGCAGTGCATTCGTTCGTATACAGGGAGAAGAGCAGTGGAGAGAACACACACCCCTGGGGGGCACCAATGCTGATCGTAAGAGTCCTGGATGTGAGTTTACCAAGCCTCACTAGCTGCTGCCTGTCTGTCAGGAAGCTAGGGATCCACTGACAGATTGGGGAGGACACAGAGAGCTGGGTCAGTTTGGCTGTGAGAAGATCAGGCATGATGGTATTGAAGGTCGAACTGAAGTCTACAAACAAGATCCTTGCCTAAGTCCCAGGTCTATTGAGATGTTGCAGAATATAATGCAGTCCCATGTTGACTGCATCATCCACAGACCTTTTTGCTCTGTACGCAAACTGAAGAGGATCCAGCAAAGGTCCAGTGATGTCTTTCAGATAGGCCAACAACAGTCTCTCAAACGAGTTCATGACCACAGACGTGAGAGTCCAGTGATTTTGGGTTTTTTGGAGACCGCAATGGGAGTAATCTCACAATTACGAATTAACAGTTAAACAGGCTTTCATATAAAACAAACACTGTTTTAGTGAAAATAAACCCCAAACAGTCCTGTAGGTTTGGACATTCGGCTGTTTGTTGTTCTTTACTGCATGTATAAGCATTAACTTACCTTTTTGAGTGCAAATTCTACCTCTTGCAATTGATAAGCCGGGTTCACTGAAACCTGTAAAATCACAGCAAACTTGAACAGGTTAGAGATCAGCTGTTGATAAATACTCAGATAAACCAAATGTCACAAAAGTCAAAAGCACTCACCAAAATGATCCCTGTCTTAGCTGTGGCAAACTGCATAAGTATCCACTCATAGATGTTCGGTCCCCACATCCCTAAGCGATCGCCCCTCTTCAGTCCGACAGCCAGCAGACCTGCAGCAGTCTGTTCCACCTGAAATCAAAATACTCCCACATTTTTACACTGGCCCTGAAGACATTCAAATGTAAGGTGGATTTTTAGTCAATACAGCAAATGTTCCCCCTTGGTCCATTCGCGATCGTGTTCCTGGGGGCACTCGCCGCGGGGCCCGGTGCACCAACCTACTGTGCACTGACCGCACCAGTTGCACCCCCTAAGGACAGCCCTGTTTTCAAGAATATAAGTCATTCTGGTTTAAAACATTTTTGTGGTGTACTGTAAAGTAATATGCTAATATGTTCTTGTGGTAAATAAATACAGTGCACTATAAAAACAATTCTGATGCTAAAGCGCTTTAGTTATTATAGTGTTAGGGGAGGGGGCATGTTCAGTGGCTCCAGTGTGTCATCGAGACATTATTTCAGCCCCACCCAAAAAATCCTGAACACAGAAATGGTGAAAAACTGTTTAACGGTCCAACTCCACAATTCAGTACTACATACACTGAACAAAATTATAAACGCAACACTTTTGTTTTTGCCCCCATTTTTCATGAGCTGAACTCAAAGATCTAAGACTTTTTCTATGTACACAAAAGGCCTATTTCTCTCAAATATTGTTCACAAATCTGTCTAAATCTGTGTTAGTGAGCACTTCTCCTTTGCCGAGATAATCCATCCACCTCACAGGTGTGGCATATCAAGATGCTGATTAGACAGCATGATTATTGCACAGGTGTGCCTTAGGCTGGCCACAATAAAAGGCCACTCTAAAATGTGCAGTTTTACTGTATTGGTCTTAGATCTTTGAGTTCAGCTCATTAAAAATGGGGGCAAAAACAAAAGTGTTGCGTTTATAATTTTGTTCAGTGTAGTTCATATTCTTTGTAACGTTTATAATGTGTTTAGAAACAATTCTCTGAATTGCCTTTACACGGACTTTAAGATAGGTCATTAATGGCCACAAATAACGTTTGACCATTTCATGGTATCATGTCAGAGATTGATCCATTGGTTTTCATTCTGCTTCATGCACATAACAGAACACCCTCTACACAAACAAATAGAGAAAAATGGGTATGTATTGCTATTTTAACACTATGTTTCTGCTAGTACTGCATTTCACATGGAATCTACGGTTAAAGCTTATTTAGGTGTGATTAATAAAGTGCTGCTTAGGAATGTGAGGATTTGTTTTGTAATTATTTTAGGATTTGGCCAAGATCTCTCATTTCACACATTTTTGGCATGTGGTTTTCCTTTCTCCCACGAGGGGTATAAAAGGGAAGCACTGTGGTAAGTATCTCTAGTCTTACAGGATTTACTTCTCTAATCAGGCCTCTGTAGAAAAAAGAGATGCAAAACCACTCACGTCTTGGTAGAACTGAGCAAAAGTCTTGCGCATTCCATTCTGCATAAAAACCAAAGCTTCACGGTCAGGGTGGCGCTCCACTGAGTGTTGAAGACACTGGTCCACAGTACTTGAGAGCAGCGAATGGGAGGATATGCCGTGAACATAACTGGTAGTCAGGGTTGGGATGCTGGGTGGGTTATCCACATGAACGGCACTGAAAAAAAAAGAGGAGCAAAAAGAAGAGTTTGAGTGTATAAGAGATGCAGAGAACATCTCTGCAGAGATCTGCAAACAAATGCAGAGAATTTGTTTGGATTGAAACAAATACATTTTTTTTCATCCTTGTATGTAAGTATTGAAGTGAGTTCTGTGAACTGCAACAACCATCAGTTTCATAAAGGAAGTAGTCTTTTTGTTTGGGTCTTGTGAAGTTCACACTGAAGGGAGAGCAGAAGATTAAAAAACATCCTGACAACACTGATGTTTATGATAGGAAAAGGTGAAGTAAGGGATATCAGCTGCAGTATTTCTCACTTTAGAGACCAAAGAAGATGGTCTTTTTTGATGCTCAACATGACAGTTGATTTGTGATTTGAAGGTAACACGGCAGCACAGTTGAAATTAGCACACCGATAAAGTTAATTTCTTCTGCTGCTACATATAAAATAAACTCAAAAACGCATGGAAATAAGTATATTATGCTCACCATTTCACATTATCTTACAGAAACCATTCTGATTTGGTGCTCAGGAAACAGTGTTGAAAACAGTCATGCTGCTTAATATTTTCGTGGAAACTGTGATAGGCCTACATTTTTCCAGGATTCTTTGATGAATAGAAAGTTCAAAAGAACAGCAATTATGTGAAATAGAAATATTTTTGTAACAATATAAATGTCTTTACTTTCACTTTTGATGCATCAGTGCTTAATAAAAGGAAAAACAAAACCTGCCCCGAACTTTTGAACAGTAGTGTCTACCCAGTTCAGCTCGTGGAGCCTCTACTAATTGGCTAACGAGTGTTTGATAGGGGAGGCATTCAAAATATGCAGTGCTGGAAGATCAACTTGCTGAACCAGACTGGCACAAAGCTGGGAGACTATCTTAAATTAGCTAACCATTTTGTGTGTGTGTACCTGGTCCCCACAGGTATACACTCTAAAAAAAAAAGGTTCTTCAGCGGTTCTTCAGCGGT